TGAAGCTGCTTCCCTGGGGATAGTTAATAAATGTGTGATTGGAGCATGGGTGCCCTCTTCACCAGCTTAGAGAGTCATTCTCTCTCTTACTTCCTGGCTGAGTGACTATTTAAGCCTCTGAGTATGTTTATGGGATTGGGGCCTGCAGGCAATTTTCACAGCTGAATGTCTGTCTTCCTCTAGTTCACGAATCGTTCTCAGGCCCAGGTACCTGGAGGGAGGCATCGTGTCCCAGGAGACAAAACCTAGACACCTAGAGAATGTTAACAATGCAAAGCTAGGCCCTGAGTGAGGTTAGGTGTGTACAGGGTTAAGCAGCAGCCAAGCAAGAGTTTTGTAGATCACAGTGGTGGTACGCAGCGAGATGAAGATGTTTAACCCTGGAGTTTAGGTGCCTATATAGCTTTGTGGATTGCACTCTAGGTGCCAAAAGATGCAGCTTGCAACGGTAGGATTTTCATAATGCACCTAAATGACGTAGGCCCCTAATTCTGTTATTGTCGATATCAGCATTCACCTGCACAGATGCATTTGAAAGCCCCATAAAGTGCCCATCTGCAGCTTTTGCCACCAAATTAGGCAAATCTGGCCCTTAGCTCCTCAGTGGTAATAAAAGCAATCTACTGCATAGATGATGAGGAAGGCTACTTTCATGAATGTGAGTGCGGTATTTTAGATGCTCAGGAAGACGTGGAAGGCATTAGAGATCAGGAGAGTGCTCCCGTTGGTGTGATGTGTTACCAGCAGTCAGTTTCAGCACCTTCCTCGGATGGCTGCTTTCTGCTCCTGTCACTAGCATTGCAATCTGAGGTGGCACCATTTGTTGACATCCATGCCTCGAAGCAGCCTGATTCATGGCCTAGATTGCTAAATGCAAATAACCCCAGGGTGATTCCTCTCCCCTGCCCTCTTTCTTTATGAAAAGGCATATTTTTAAACAAAAAACAATCACAGCTGTAAACTTACCTCAGGGGAAATATGTTCAGCTGGCCAGCTCTGACTTGGGCGAGTGAAGCCTAGCTGGTCTTTCAGAGCTGGAAGTCAGTTTCTCTGGCTGGAGTCTTTGGGCTGCACCCTCCAGGCAAATGTTAGTCAAGTCACCCAGACATGTTTCTAGCTTGGTCAGCAGCATGTTGTTTTCAC